TGTATATTATCCTGCATTCAATTATTTCCATACATTATAGACCGGTTATTACAATTTGATTTTAATCATATAAATAATTGTGCATTCGTGGCTCGTGCATTATTTTATAGGCTTCAGCAAGGCGCAGGCCAATTGTAACATTTTAAAAGTAAGGGGTGCAACCGCACACCCTGCCAACCCCCAAATGACGCCCCTGACTTTATCTATACAGTTAACAGTATATGACGTATACCTACATATTTTATATAAACTCTGAAACACTAAAATCCATAATTGTTGGGAGACTATTATGATTAATATAATATTCGCATTTTTCATATAAACAATTAATGTTTTTTTATTCAATAAAAAAAATTGTCATTTTACGCAAAATTATATGGTTTTCTTATTAAAATGTACAGGTGTCTCGCATTGAAGGAAAAAAATTATGGTCACGTTACTCATACTAGACATATACAGTATTAGTGCTTTGTACAAAGAAACAACAGTTGCCAAATCAATATTTACTGATTGTAATTGTTTACTAGTCGAATGGAACCTTTTCATAATCTCACCCCATAAAGTAGCCATTAAAGCGGTCCTTTCGCTTCACATCTTGTTCTAGATTTTTCATTACAGTCTATACTAATATCAGTTAAGGTTAGACAAATTTTATTCCAATCTTTGTTGAGACTCTCACTTGCTTCATAACTGGCTAACCATCTTGTGTCAGATACGTTTTTTTAATACGTTTTTAGATTTTGTAAAATTATTTGTTAATTTTTCCCACCGATGAGTAGACATACTTAAAAAATTGTAAAGATTTTGAAATACCTAAACTAAAAAAAATCGACRGCAGCTTTACGAGAGTCGACCGCACATTCTCCAATTTAAGTAAAAGAATGCGCGTAACAAGGTATAAAATGAGCTAATGGGCATTTATTTTTAATGCGTGTCTGAAGTCCAGAATAAGCACCCKCCATATTTACCGCATAGGACTGTCCTCTTCAGTTGGTTAAGTCAAGTGTATGAGATTCAAGAACACGAAACACTGCGTTTTCTACATTTTCCGCTTTATGACTAGTATTCGAAAGAAATTCTAAAAACCGTTCAACATGTATGCTATTATGGACATATCGAATTTTAAATGCTACTTTTTTTTATCAGCCAAAAAGCTTACCTCATTATATCAAAATATTATCCAAAATGTACCGCCCCTAAAATTTAACTTCCCGGTGCCCAAGCCCCCTCTGCCCCCCTAWATACGTCTATGGTCGTAAAATGAATGGGTAATTGTTCGATAAAACTCTTTTGAGTTTTTGTTGGTCATTCCATTTTTATTGTGACAAATTCAATGATTTTTTGTAAAACGGCTTTTATTGATCTTTATCGATTCTTATGTTTTTCTTCTAGGCAATACTTTTTTTGGTATTTCACAGAATGGGTCATCAAATAAAAGTTTGAAATAAATGCATGATGTTAATGGGTCATATAATAGTTCACGAATATCTTTAATTTCTGGTTCTACCTTCCCAATACCAGGTGTTATAGAGGTGTAAGTATTTAAATATTTAAAATTATAAAAATATCTATGTTTTAAATGGATTTCCTCAAATGAATTAGGATTGTATCGAGATTTTGTAGTTAATCGCACATAATTAGAGGGCAAAAAAATATCTTTATTTTTGATTTTCCTCCTCTCTTTAAGAGAATGTGCACTATCGCATTCTATCTGTGTTTGATCTTTAATTAAGAATTTTTTTTTTTGTAACAATACTTTGAGTTAAAGACTGAAGAAGAGCGTTTGAAAGAATACAATTTCTGTTCTGATTGCCACAATCATCAGAGTAAATAATAATTGATATTTTTTCAGTAATTTTTTTAAATAAGTGCTTGATTATAATTGTAGAAAATACAGAATACAGATGCCTCTAAATCTACTTCGCTTTCATGGTACCAGTAATTACGTATTTAATTCATTAGTTACTATGTTATATATTGTCAAGTTATCCCATGGTGAATCTCAAAATCTAAAAAATATTTCCAATCTTTGATTTTCATCAAAAGATTGACAAAAACGGTTTTTTGCTTTAATATAAAATTTAAATTCACATATTGGCTGTATTCTTCTTGCTGGTTGTTGTATATCTTGACTAACTACATTTCCTTTTCTCTAAAAACCTATGTATTCTTGGCCATTTATTCTACATCTTTGACTAGTTTTTCTTTTACATTTGTTTGGTTGAGGCTTAATATTATATACGTGTATCATTAGCTTCAGATTATAAATAGTTCACATTTATATTTTCAACATCCATTTGTTCATGTTCGTTATTTATATAGTTTGGTTTCAAAATGTCCTCTGTTAAAAATTCATAATATACAGGTATATCATTTGCCAGTGGAATTTCTAACATCTCATTGTCTTCTTCAATATTTATATCAGAACTCACAGTATTCACTTCAAAATTTTCAAGTGGAATTTTTAGCATCTCATCTTCAAAATTATCTGTATAACCATTGATAATAAATACTATAGTATTTATAATCAATGAAATTGCTAACACCTCGTTATTATATTCAATATTATGTGTACCACAATTCACAGTATTTATTTCAAAATTATCAAATTGTGCATTTCTGAAACATTCAAAACTCACCAGAATATTAATTAAAGAAATATTTATGTTTACTTGTTAAAAATTGATGGGGATCACATTTAAGCATGTTAAATTCAATTGTTAGTAATTAATCTTGTCTTCAAACATTAKCTGTTCAACAGAAGGGTCAGAATTACGTATTAGTTACAGAATTAAAAAGTACGCTATTGGAACCTGAATTTTGGTTGTACATTGAGCACATAATTTGCATTTTAAGTCCTATTGTCACTTGGGCAATAAGGATRGACAATGACGAATCTATTATAAGYGGGGCTAGGATTTGTATGCAATAAAAAATTGTAAAATATGTATTTTATTTACCAAAATATGCAAAAATATGCATTTTAATTTCTATCTTAGATTTTATATTGATCGACATACTTTTATTAATCGCAAAAATATGCATTTTAATTTCTATCTTAGATTTTATATTGATCGACATACTTTTATTAATTGTGTTTATCTTTTTCCGTCAAACTATTCAATCTTTAATCGCATACCTATTGTAGCATAGGGTTGTATTTATAAAAATAAAATTTGTGTTTGACAAAAAAACCAAGTTTTATACTTTAATCAGCAGAGCTAGAATCAAATATGAAATATTTATATTAAATTATAAATATTAATTACGAAATATACTATAAAGTATGCATTTTTTGCATTTTTATAATCGAAATATGCAATAATATTCATTTTATTCAATATATGCATTAATATGCATTTTATCTAAAATATGCAAAAACATGCAAAATAAAAACACTGCCATTTATCTCACCGTAAGTTGATTCGTGGACATTTCTGAAAAAAGACAAAATCAATAATCAGAAGTAGCAAAAAAACACGCTGTTGTATACAAATCTTAGCCCTGATTATAAGTTTAAGTTATTCATGCTTTAAATATATTGAGTTGGCAATTAAAAGTGTATTAGAGCGTACTGCAATGCTGGCAGAGCTTGAAAAAACTTTTATTACATCACAAATGATAAAGCGTAAGCAGTATGCAATAAAACCTATTCATATGGAAGCTCATCTGCTGGATTCAAAAACAGAATATTTGCCTATAAGTACAGGATTTGAAATGGAAAAAAAATGCTTATATTAACATGCTTTCAGAAAATGACCCGAACATTGTGGAATGTTTTTCAAATTCCAGATATCACAGCAGTGGAAAATGGGGAAATCAGTTTATATGGGATTCTGCTAAGTCTACAAAAGCTATAAGCTGGTGAAAAGGTCTTTGTCGTAGTAGCCCTCTACAAAACATAGGTGTAAAGATACCGAGTACCCCTCCAACATCTGCTGCTACCGAGCAGTGTTTCTCCTCATTTTCCTCTATTCACACTAAAAATAGAAATAGACTTACTACTGAAAGGGCAACTAAAATGACATATATAACTCACTATCACAGAAGCAATATTAATAGTGTCAAGAACTCAAAAAAATAAAAAAAATAAATAAATAAAAGTAAAATTAACTTGGATTACATAATGGAAAATTAAGATACAAACAATCTTGAAGCTGATGATGAATGTATTAAAGGCGAATGTCTTAGTTCTTCTGATGACTCCGATACAAACGATTCAACTAAAATCCAAGAAGTTCAGCTTCAGATGTTCATATAACAGAAAATGATATAATTGATATAAACATGGAAGAAGAGGTTACACAAATTGCCACAAATTCATTTGTATTGGTCAATTTCTTTGGAAATACTTTGACAACTAATAATCAAGTTTTTAAATATGTGTGTATGGTTATAACTTTATAAGTATTCTGAAAACTGGATTTAAAGTTTAGGGTCTAAAATCAGTTGGTGGATCTAAAAAACATTTTTAAATTATCGATGGAGATGTATCAATGGTAAAAACTACAGATATCATTACCAAAATTGATTTTCTAAAGAAAACATTTAATTAAAAAATTAATGTATGATGTAAACCCTGAGAATGGTGGTCACACATTTACAATGCGAATTACGAATTCTAGAAATGAAGTTAAAACTGATAATCGGTKGGTAGTTCCATACTCATCATTGCTGTCAAAAGCGTATAAGGCTCATATTAATTTCGAGTTTTGCAGTTCCGTCAAATCCATTAAGTACAATTGTAAACATGTTAATAAAGGTAGTGATTTGGCCGTATTTGAAATACAAAATATAAACAAAAATGACGAAATAGCAAGATACCAGATGGGTAGATATATAAGCAGCAGCGAAGCAATCTGGCGTATTTTYAGTTTTCCCATACACGAAAGAGAACCTTCTGTCCAGCATCTTGCAGTACATCTTGAAAACGATCAAACCTAACCGAAAATAATATTCTCCAAAGAGCATTTGAGACACCGTAAACGACACTAACTGAATTATTTACATTATGTCAAAAATTGATGTATTCGGCCAATTTGCAAAAACATTATTATATACCGATTTTCCACGCTATTTTACATGGAATAAAATAGGGAAAAAGTGGGTGCCACGTAAGTAAGGGAAACCACATCCATCGATACCAGGCATATTTAAAGCTAAGATATTAGGACGACTTTATACTGTACATCTTAAACAACGTGAATGCTTCTTTTTGCGTTTATTGCTGGTGAATATTCCYGGACCAACATCTTTCGAATATTTGCGAACAGTGAACGATCGAGTGTTCTATACTGAATACATATCAAGGTGCATGTTGCGAGTTGCAACTACTGGAAGCATATAACCATTGGGACTTGACACTTGCTGATGCAGCGTTGACATCCACACCGAATAATATTCGTCAACTGTTTGCAATAATCTTAACAACATGTTTTCCAACACAATCATCGACTCTGTGGGAAAAATATAAGAATTATATGACTGAAGATATACTGCATCGAATTAGACGAACAAATAGATGTCCAAATTTGGATTTYACACCAGAGATGTATAATGAAGCATTAGTGGTGATCGAAGATTTATGTATTTTAATTTAAAATTTGCCACTTGGTCATTATGGAATGCCGTCACCTGATCGCCCGGCTGCCGACTTGGTTAACAATGATTTGCAACGAGATAAACAGTACAATGACGTTGATTTAGCTACAATCATTGTGAATAATGAGCCATTACTGACAGCTGAACAAAAAAATATTTGTAATCGGATAATGCTGACCGTTGATGCTGACCAAGGTGGGTATTTTTTCTCAGTCGCACCAAGTGGAACAGGTAAGACATTCTTAATATCATTAATTCTTGCAAAGACACGTTCCCAACAGAAAATTGCTTTGGCAATTGCATCGTCAGGCATTGCTGCAACTTTGTTAGATGGTGGACGAACAGCACATTCAGCATTGAAGTTGCCATTAAACATTCATAACAAACCAAACGCAATGTGTAACATTAAAAAAAAAGCGGAATGGCTACAGTGTTGCAAAAGAGTGCAATAATAATTTTGGATGAGTGTACTATGACTCATAAACATTCTCTTGAAGCATTTCATAGAACTATGCAAGATTTGAAAGGCATCAATAAAGTTTTCGGTGGTACTGTTTTACTACTGTCCAGTGATTTCCGGCAGACTTTACCAGTTATTCCTCTCACTCTACTTTTKCCGATGACATCAACGCATGCTTAAAACAATCGTTTTTATGGACAAGTGTTGAGACACTTCGACTGACTATGAATATGGGAGTACAATTGCAAAATGATCCATCGGCACAAGTTTTTTCTAAAAAATTGCTGGATATTGGAAATGGTGAAATTGAGTTGCATCAATATATACAATACATAAAATTACCAGATATTTTCTACWCTGTTGTTGAAACGAGAAATGAACTAATTGAGAGTGTCTTTCCGGATATATTGAATTATTATTTAGATCACAATTGGCTCTGTAATCGTGCTATTTTGGCAGCAAGAAACGTTGATGGGAACGAAATTAACTTCCATATACAACAGATTTTGCCCGGTGATTTGATGTCTTTTAAATCAATCGACACAGTTATTGATGAAAACGAAGCCGTACATTTTCCAACTGAATTTTTGAAATCTCTGGATTTGCTAGGAATGCCACCACACAATCTTCAATTGAAAATTGGTTCATAAATTATTCTACGTAATTTAAACCCACCTCAATTATGTAACGGCACACGTTTAGTCATAAAAAAAATGACCGAAAATATCCTTGAAGCAACAATTTTGACGTGTAAATTTAAAAGAGATATTGTCCTGTTGCCACGTATTCCACTGATAGTGTCAGAATATTTAAAAAGCTCCAATTTTCGATTTGTTTAGCTTTTGCGATGACCATAAATAAATCTCAAGGAAAACATGTTTCTCGCTTGGACAGCTATATGTTGCCTGYTCTCGACCTGACATTAAATGGTCCCAAATTTTGGGGCCAGACTTAAAACCTCGAACGTGCTTTTGTCGTCCCGCAAGACCACGAGTGTTAACCCTTGGACAATCGTTTTTACTCTTGGGTTAGGCAGCTTCMTGGACACGGTTTACCTTCACTTCCGCTATCGTCCTGTCTGTTGGAACGTCGATGACGAAGTGGGTGCTCGTTTTTGCTTGACGACACTACTTGTCCAGTGCCGAAAGCTTCTTGCTTCCGGACACCGCGACCTCATTCTCTCTGGGTTTTTCTTTTGCAACACTTGYGTATGACAAGGTAGCAGGTCGTTGCGCCGCTTTGGATGTGGTCGCTGACACGTTCCCTTGCGTCTTTATCGTCTCTTTAAGCTCCAATTTCTCCCTACAGAGAATTTCAATTTCGTCACAATTACTGGCATAATCCTTATTTGCCCTTTTTAGCTGAGCCATCTCCTCAGACTTATCAGCCAGAACTTTTGTTAATTTTTCCAAGATACTGCTTAGCTCTGTGACCTTAAACTGGGTTACACCCTGTAGACGGCTATTCTCCAGACACACGTCCGTCTACAGGTTCCTGATCCCAGTTGTGTGCTCAGAAATCCCGTTAGCCGCTGCTACCGTCAGCTTTTCAGCCAAGTTGTCTGTCTGCGTGCCTGTCTTCTTTTTGACCATCCGAGAAGATGGACCCGGGCTGGTCGGGCCCCGTTTTTTGCTGCTTGTACAAGGACTATGTGGTTTATGGGAAGCCTCAATGTCCATAGCACCATTGTCACCAGCCTCTGTATTTGGTGGAATGTTAGGGTTACCACCATCCCTCAGTCTAAGTACGTCCGTTGTTAAGTTAATATTATTATATGGTTTACACTGTTTTGATGCCTTCATTTGATAACGACCCTCAGGTCGAGCATCGCTCCTAGCAGTTGGATCTAGGTTTTCCGTAGTCCAACCTCCCTATTAGGGAGGCCCCGAAACTGTTTTCTGGTGTATTCTTGTTAGTTGTTAAGGAGAGCTGCCCTGGTGGCCTTGTACCCTCTGACTGACGGCCGGTTAAATTGTTGGTTGCATGTCCGTGCTTACATGTTAGAACGGTTCAGGCTCGGTCATCTCGAACGAGGGTTAATGCCTCTTAGCGATCGACCAAAGGTGCGTCCGTGTGGAGTCACCACGGCAAGGTGGGCTTTCTTCGAACCCGAAGAAATCAAACAGTGCATGTTTTATTCTGTTCGAATAGATGACAYTGWTATTATAACTCAAATTAGTTTTTCATTATAATTTATTTAATTAGAAACAGAACATTGAAATCAGCACTAAATTACTTATTTTTGTATTTTTTACAGAGAACACTTAACATTTTACTTTATTATAAATATTTAAAATAATTAAAATTAATGATTGTGTTATATTATAAGACTTATTAGACTAAATTATATTTAGAAACACGTCATTAGAAGGTATAAATAGCATCAGAAGAATCAAATAATATTTAAACAAGTGGTTCTCAATTTAGTAACGAARTGAGCGCCACGCTCACTACGATACTGATGAACTGATGACTGGTTAAGATTTGTTAATAAAAATTCAGAATTAGTTTACCGTTTTCTAGGTTTCCATAAGGTTAGTGATGAGCATACAGCCAGGGGATTATTTAACTTGATAAGTTCTGTTTTAAATAAGTTTGACATTGAGAAAAATTTAGTTATCCAATATTACGAAGCTAATGGCAAGGCATTTGACAGGATTACAAGTGAGAATAAAAAATGTTGCACCCAATGCAATATTTACTTACTGTTTAGCATATAGGTTAAACTTTGTACTGCAAAATGGCTGTAATATGAATTCAAAACGTCCTGATAAAATCGTTGAGAGTGATGGATTAAAAGAAGTTATGCTAAAAATCAATAAATGGTTTGCATTAATTTTTAACAACTACTCCATCCACTAGCGTTTCAGTTGAAAGAAGTTTTTCTTTCCTTAAAAGAATCAAGACATACTTGAGAAATACTACTTTCCAACAACGTTTAAGCTCTTATCAACAATGTTAATTGAAAAATTATTGATGCGACAACTTAAAGAAACCGAACCATTTAATTTAATTTTATATAAAACTTAACAGTCTTGTTGGCAGCTTTAAGTAGATCGTCGGTTTTTGTGGTTACCTCGATGCGTGTATTACCCATTACGACGATGTCGTCCGCATAAGCAAATATAGAGTATTCCCCTAATATTTCCACGTCTTGATATACTGGCACTGTCCTTACCACTTTTTCAAGGGCTAAATTAAAAAGTAATGGCGACAAAGCATCGCCTTGCCTCAGGCCCGTATTCACATCAAGACTTTCAGATCATTCATTTCGGAATTTAAGACTTTATACGCGGTGTTGGAATTACATTCTTTTATTAATTGGATTAATTTTGAAGGTATTTCAAATTCTTCTAAGGTTCTCCATAATTTGTTTCTATTGATGCAGTCTTAAGCTTGGCTAAAGTCAACAAAACATAAGTGCACTTCTTTTCCAAATTCAAAATATTTTTCTAATTCGTCTAATCGTAAATATATGTTCAGTGGTAGATTTCCCTTTTATGAATCCAGTTTGATATTTTCCTATTATGTCTTTATATCTCCAGTCTGTGTAATATTGCGGTAGATAAAATTTTATATCAGGTATTTAATAGCGCTATCCCTCTATAGTTTTTTGTATCCATTGTATCCCCTTTCTTATATATTGGGCAAATAATTGCCGTTTTCCAATCCTGAGGGATTTGTTCTTTTTTCCAGATTTCTTTGATTAAAGTACATATTTCCGAGAACATTTTTGGGGTCGAAATTTTAATTAGTTCAGCATTTATGTTGTCTTCACCAGGTGCCTTGTTGTTCTTTAGCATTTTTATAATTAGTTTAATGATTAACTTTAATCTCATTTTCATCTGGTTCAGTGATCTCTGGTTGTACTGTATAACGAAGCGGGTGGACTTCTTCCGGAACGTTATTGTCTTGATTTATATTTAAGAGATCTTTAATGTAAATTCGAAACTTATTTACAATATTCATATTTTATTTAAATTAGTACAGGTTTAATTGTCTACAAATATATTGATCTAATTTTGTGTAAGTAAATACAACGAACTTAGAATTAAGTCAAATTTTTTAATTGTGTAGCTATGTAAAAAAAAATATTAACATAGTATTTACATGTTGTATTATGTAGTAGGTTTATCATCTCGTACTTTTTTTTTTTCCGTTTGAACCGACAGCAGGGGAGGATCTGTGTGATTATCATCTCGTACTTACTTTCTTATGGTATACCCATCTATATAATATTTTTTTATCTAAGTGTTTTAAATAAGAATTTATCACTTCACTACTTTAGTGTTCTAATATTTAAATATATAGTTCCTAATTTTAATCGAATGTTTAATAACTATAAATTGCTTACTATTGGGCAGTATAAGAAATTACAATTTATCGATTCATTAACCTACAAATGTGCTGTATTATATAATTTTAATTTTTTCAGATTTGTTTCTTTATACAATATAATACTTAAAATAAACACCATGGATGTGAAATCACATAACGTATTACTTACTGTCAAAGATGAGCCGTATGTTAAAGAAGAACCAGATGTAAAAGAAAAATTTGTAAAACGAGTTAAGTACCGAAGGCGACCTAAAGCCATACCTCAGCAAACACCATTTTGCCCTCCGTTTATGGTCAGATGTGATAACGATCGACCACATTTCAACTACCGTACAGTATGGGCATGTAGAATTTGTACCAGAACACTATTAAGTAAAGCTGCCGCTATAAGCCATGCTGCTATTTGTAAGCTACCCATTACAAAAGAAGAAGATATTCCAATTGCAGATTTGAAGTAAGATTAAATGAATATTTTTGTTTAGTAGTTGCAATTACAGTTTAAAAAAAATTTTAAATAACTTGAACATTTTTATTTTCTAGTTATATGGGAAAAAACATGTGTTATCCGTGCAAATATTGTGATAAAAAAATGCGAAGAAAAGTGGTCTGGCTAAAGCATTTGAATGAGCATGAGAATCCAGATTATGATGAAGATAATTGGGGTGTTGATGTACTAATAGAAAATTTGAAACGACCAGTAAAGGTTGTTTCTATAAAAATGAAACAGGAACCTGAGTTATAATTAGGGAGCGGATGTTTATGCTCCAAAAAATTTAAAAAATATGCATGCAATTATGCTTAAAAAGTATAAAAATATGCTTAGAAATTATATAAAATGTGCATCAAAAAATTTTTATTTACAACTTATTTTGATTATTAAAAATTGAAAATATATAGGTATCAAATAATTATTCTTAAAATTAAAACTTTAATAAGAACTGTTGGTTGATTGTTTGTAAATCTGAAAATAAAAAAGATGGGTGGATATTAGAAACCAAGTACTAAGCATTAAATCATTTTAAAATATACCTAGTAATTGGGAATTGCACTGGATAATCAATGTTTTATTTAAATTATCAAAAGTAAATTTTCTTCTGTTATCCAATAACAACATTTTTAATTTCGAAAAACGGCGTTCTACATCGATAGATGAGGCAGGAGCATATTATTTGAAATAGGGTAGGTCTGACGTAGTTAGTTTTTCTTCCATGTCTTGAATAGTAATATGATTTTTTCCTGTCAAAATGTTTGAAATTGTATTCAATTTCTTCAGTCCATGATTTTTATCATAAAAGCTATCAAGTTTGGTTTGTATAGATTTTCCTACATTTCCGGGGAMTTGAAAAATTTTAGCTATAACTTCTTCGACTATTAAAATAAAATCTGCCAATAGGACGCCTTGTTTTTCTAAGCTAGTAATTTTATCCACTAAAAATCTGAAGTGCGTTTTAATGAAAATTAAATCATTTTTTATGGTTTGATCTTCCATCAACGTTTTTATAATATTAACGGATCTTGCATCATTTTTATCAAAGGTTTGCATAACTCTAAAAATGTATCAAAATAATCGCAATAATATACCGCCGAGTCCAACTATGAACCCCAACGTCAACGTGTAATAATTGGTTGAGGCGGTAAAGAAATTTCAGGAGCAATAGTTTGAAAAGCCCACACCAACTGAAATAATGACAGCACCTCTGGAGAAATTGTTTCTTCTAAATCCGTTATTATTGAATTGAAGAGAGAAATATATATATATTTGCGGAAATATTCTACTGCAGATTGACCTGGCTGCTATAATAATAATGTGGCTGTATTTTTGCAAACATAAATTAATATACCTATAAGTAATATAATTTATAACTTCATTTGTCCAAGCAATATATTTGTTACACTCAAAATTCATTGTATTTATTTTAACACATAAAAATATATCAATTAAGTCAATAATTAAAAAGCAATGTAATTAATAATAAGCTTATTAATAGCAGGTGAAATTATAATGTATCACATTAAAACGGAATGAAAAACAAATTTTAAAACTTAATATTTTATTATATTCAAATTTTATAAAATATCTAGTTATTATAATAATGTGTTACTGGTGGTATTAATATTATTATCTTATTAATTATCAAATAAAATTATTATATTTATATATAAATCTACAATACTGTGAACAGGTTGAAAATAAATTATTATTCATTACTATTTAATTAATTATTAATTAAATATTATAGTTTTTTTTTAAATTTTTTTTTTTAATTGAGTAAAGAAAATCAACACAAAATTAAATTGTGAAAAAATATACATAAGAATTCCAAATATATATATTCTATAATATGTTATTTTTCTATATAATAATTATTCTCATTTTGTATCTATATAAATTATGTTTGCACTACCTATTTTTCCTTACCTATAAAACTTTTAAGATTTGAAATAAACATATTTGTTTTATATTCAGAGTTGTGTTTCATATGTATTGGTTATATCAACATGCTTCTAAAAGTAAAACCAATACAAATTAAGTAATTAGTAAAATAAATACTGTATGTCAAGCATCGTTAAATATACTTTTAAAAAAAACAATAAGGACACAAGGAAATATGTTAGCTTTTTAAAAAAAGATCCACCACTTTGTGCATTAGTTCAGTTAAAATTAAATCACAATAATCCTATTAATTCATGTGGTGAACTCGGATATTTAAGAGTGTCTGATGAAGTAAGTAGGTGTAAACTAATTCCTTTGTTTAGAAATACATTTATGTTATTTTCTAGACATGAAAAAAATTCTTAGGTATATATTTAGATGATATTTTTAATCTTGAATAATAATTCTGAAAAGGCATAACACATTTATATTTAAAGAAAACCCGCAATACCTAGAATATGAAATTAAAATTGAGTTTAGATTTAAATTAGTTAAAAACTAACTAAATGTCATGTAATGTCTCACTTTCAGTGGCGGCTCGTCAAGGGAGGCAAGTGAGGCTCAGCCTCACCTTAGTATTATAAAGAAAAATGAGTGACATATTCTATAATTATTGTTATTTCCAATCGACTTCAAGAATATTAAAATACTCAATAATATATTATACATTTTAAAATACAAAATCTTTTTGTTATTAATGTTATTAAATATTATTATGTACTGACAAAAAAAATGTATTTTATCGTGTATAATATTATTATGATAGTACGTCATACTTCGYCACTTTATTCTGATATTTCAGATAATATTGAGTATGGTTTATCATTTATAAATTTTTAAAGGTTAATATTAAATATTAAATTGAATTATTTTAAATGTTAACTTAAAACTCATTTTTAAATAAA